AATCGATTATTTGATCATGGGATGCCGTATCGTCAAAAATTGGTTATATGTTTGTTATTTGTTTTTCAAAAACTCGCTTCAGACCTTCATTCACCGCACCTCCCACAAATGAACCTAAAGATATCCAGTGATCGGAAATGCACCCTTGAAAAATGCACCTTCCCTTTGCACAGTTTGCGGAATTCCGTGTTTGATCATTTGATCGTGTTTGATTTTCTCAATGTTTTCTCTTTTGGGGGCGTTGGGGGAGGCAATGGTGCGACGATGTGCGAAGGGGTGCAACTGCATTTGGAATGGAGTTGAGCGACGGCAGACGCTCGAATTCGTCCTCCAAAGTGGGTGGCTGCGGGGTGTGAAAGAGGCGGCAGAGAAACTCCTGGTGTGGAGACCGGCGGAGAAGGCGTTCCGATGAGAGAGAGAGAGAGAGTCAGTGGCAACCTCAACAGTTTGGGGTTGACTGGCTGGGTGATGTGGGGTGCATTAAATCCAAGTATCGCATGTTGTCACCCAGAGTAGATGTTCACTTTTGCCATGTTTTGAACCAGCCTCTTCAAGGTGACCTTTTAAGGGTTCCTACGTGCACTAAGTAGCCCTTGGGAGGCGTAAGTGACCTCAAATTAGGATATCAAGTTCGGTCAAATTGAAGAACCGGGAAGTAATATGGGTTTTACTTTCAATCCATATTTGAGATCACCCTACATTCCTGCCTGCAACCATCTTGCGCCAGGCATTTTTGAAGTAAAACTATTATATAAGAAGCACATTTGCTCGCCCATATTTTGGCGGACAGCCGCACATGCGCCGCTTCGCCGGCTTCTGGGGGAGCTGCCTCAGGGCGGATGTGAGCAACCTCATGCGGTGCAAAGATCCCTTGTTGCTGATTGGATTTGATCGGGTTATTTTACATTCCCTAGTATATACCGTACCTATGATGGATTGAGAGTAGATGGCACCAGTGATGGCACATGACGGCACAACCACCAAGAGGAGATGCTTCATGGACCCCATCCAAAGGAGCTTTTGCTCTGAAACTACTGCTGTTTTGTGACGGGTGATCCCCCTTCTTGGGAATATGATGGAATAAGAATTGTATGTTGAATCTGCTTCCTCAACGCGACTTTATGTGACAATGGGTTTGAGTCAACACACGCAGATCTCTAGCACCACCGTGGTGAAGAAAGCCGTGGGGGTCACCTGAGCGATCTTTGCATGGCTCGTTTTCAGCGATCAACCCTGCCTGCACTGTAGGGGGGTTGAGCTTGAGAAGTGAGGATTTTGACCTCCATTTGTTTTATGAACTAGGCATGACTTGATGGTCACTCACATCGTTCCAATCTCATTGGGTGTCGCTAAAATGACTTGCCCAAGCTGCCCTGGCCAGCTTCAAGGATGAGGGTGGAAGGAGTTCCAGAATAAGAGAGGGTAGGGTGCTGAGTGGCTGGGTGCTAGGGTGCTCTGAAACAAGAATTGAACATCCCATGGCTACCATGGCCCTTCGGTGTTGAATCTTGACCCGGACAAGTTCCTATTTGGCAGATTTTGGCAGGCTTCCCACTTGTTGGGCATCACTTGATTAAAACATGCCTCCGGGAACTGAATTGGGAATCCATGGGGTGAGCCCGGGGGAGGGTAGGGCTGCACATGGCAGTACAAGTTGGATGTTGGATGTGAGATCTGGCTGTGGGTCACCTAGAGCTTTGTTTCCCACGGTAGGTTGACCTGGCTGGTATCTATTCTGTTCATTTTCGCTGGGAAAAAACCGCCGGTCATCCGGTGCCATGACCCCGCAGTCTATACATGTGTTCTTTCTGGGCTATGCTTGGTAGGTGGCGACCAACTGGGACTTCAACAAAACCCGACCCTTGCTGAGATGCGGCCAGTGTGGCGAATTCAAACCTGCATTAGACAGGACAGCTGCAATCGGCAGCATGAGGTAGGTAGGCGACTAGCCACCAGCATGACGAGCGCTGTGATGGCGCAGGGCTCTTGGCGTTGCAGATGTGCACCACTTGCGGTAATGCCACTAGCGCTTGTTGGCCCCAGCAAACGCCATCTCAAGGTTGATGGAAGAGATTCTCGCCAGCTCGGACACAACACTATCGCCATCCTTTTCTTCCCATCCCAAGGCCCAAAATCATCAGGATTCACTGGATTGGGCACACAAAAACGAGGTGAAAAACCAACCCTATATTCATTGTGGGCTTCGAGTTTTTTGGGGTCAAGATGATGTCAAGCACAATGCGTTTTTGTTGTTTTTTTGCGTCGCCAAGTAGGCCTTGATCACTCCGGCCACGGGGAAACCGCGCCGCGCGCCTGAGCGGCTGGCTTTGCCAGCGGCTCCAAGGATTTTTGCTCCGCGCCATGAGAGTTCGAAGTCCAAGGGTCATTGGTGCAAAAGCCACGAAATGGCAACTAGTGGACCTCTACACTATGACTTCAATGCGGACGATGGCCCCTGGCAAGACACTTTTCCAGTTTGTGAGTGAAATAAGGAGCTAGCTTTTTTGAATGAATGCTGCAAGACCCAGCGCCCCCCAAAATAGTTGTACACTAATCTGCGCAGAAGTGCGGGATACTCGTTTTTCGAGACGTCTTTGTTTGGCAGACGCCGTTGTTTCTCAACGGCAACACGTCCAACCCCCCAAAGCTCAGTGGCGAGGTTCGTTGGGTTTGACATCGTTTTCTCCATGGGTTTTCCTCCCCCTTCCGGCGAAGATGTTCCTTAGGCAATTGCAAGTACATTACATCACTGTGCGACTGTGACTATGTGACTATCCATGAACAATGCAAGCCAGTTGCGCACGAAACGACTCGAAACTTCATCAATGATCATCAATGAGTGTTTCCATAGCCAGTGCATGACATCAGTCCTGTGGGAAAGTTAGACCTTTCATTGACGTTTTTGATACCAAAGATTATGCGGAGAATTACATGTTACATGTCCTTTCAGGGGGATGTTGAAATAATTTGACATATATTGAAATGGCAATTCCAACGGTGTGGAAATGCACAACGATGGTGCACGGTGAAAGTATGTCAAACGGCTTGTGATCCAGATCCGTGTTCAAGCAACTTCGGGGAGTATGGACGAAGAATCATGTGGGTAAATCCTCAAGATCAGGAAGCTTCCAACCACTGAGCAGACTGGTGAAGGCCTTGTCGAACCGGGAGGGTCTTGTCGAACTGGGAGGGTCTTGTCGAACCGGGAGGGTCTTCTTCTATCAGACACCCCTTTTTCTCGGACGTGCCTTGATGAGTCGTGGCCGGTCGGGGTGGAGCCCTTGATCTTCAAGGATCTTCAAGGGGCATGCGGAATACGGCATAGACACCCCCCTCCGGTGGCCCTGGCGTATGGCTAGAAAACATCTTTTGCAAAACTCAGTTTTCATGGTGGAATTCTGGGCTCCACTCGGCACACATGTTTGTGAGATAAGTGTGCTACTCTCATGTCGCCTTCAATGGCCCATGACGTTCCATGTCACTGCGCAAGTGCTCGAGGGCCTAGGCTCAGGAAGTGTCAAAAGTGTCACTGCACGTTCATCAATGACTCAAATCTTGCAAATGAAAACAATCTCGATGCAACAGTTCAATGCAGCGGCTTCGTGGAGTGGTCAGGTTTTGTGGAGTGGTCAGGGCGGCAGATCTTTTCGACCCACTACCCTAACCCATACACTCCATGGGACTGCCATATATGCCTATACATTGACCCCCCTGGCACCACCACCCCTGGCCTGATTGGCATCTATTCCAGTCCCATGGAGCGTTAGAGTCTCAGAGGATCCTCAAGGGCCCTTCATGGGGGGTACGGACCCTTCATCACCTGCCACCCGAAACCCGTTCGTTCTCTCCAGACGTTTGCAGCGACTCTCACCGAGTTAGGACCCTCCTGGGATCCCCGGGGGTCCGGAGGTGTCAGAATGCGAAGAAGGGGATGTTGCTGGAGATGAATGGAGCGAAGAAGGGGTAGCCTGAGAGTTTCAGCCAACTTCAGCCGATGCATTTTTGCAAGGCGCTCGCGAGGCGCCCATGTGTCTACTGAGAAACCTGGAACCTGGAACCGGCATGACTCGTGGTGAAAGACAATGTTCCGAATACGGCCCCAGGTGTTTTTTGGGCTTCCATGTTATATATAGTTTGCAGGTTTTTTTGTTTTAGTTGAAAGAGCCCCGCTTGCAAACAGTGGATGTAGCATGATGCCTCCATTGATTGGCTCGCAAAGGGTCTTTGGGCACTTCCCCATTCACAGGATGGCCAGCTTTAACAGCTAGACGCATGCCGCATGACGAACCCCCGCGCGCACCTCGGATCTCGGCACAAAGACCTCAACCGCCCGGCCACTGGGCCACTGCGGTCGGGTCGGCTCTGGTGAGATCGAGGTCGAGGCTGCTGCAGTGGCTGTGCCCGAGTGGGAGGCGAGACAGCACGGTCTGAGGACGTCGAGATCCGGAAAGGATGGATCTAAGAGACCGGGCTCCCAAGCAGATCCTCAGGTGGTTGGAGCTCTAGGGCAGGATTTCTGGTGTCTTGAGGCTTCTCGGGATATTTGGGAGTTCTGGGAGCTTGGTGGAACATGATAGAGTCCTTTCCTGGCTAAATCAGACATGATCAGACCATGATTCAGAAGAACGCGGAGGGAGGACAAACGCTCCAAATTGCACCCACCCCTTCGGTATGAACAAAACAACCAACACCGAGACTCCCTCGAACAATCATGGAAGCGATGGAAGTGGATGGTATGGGCCGACCTGGAGTAAAAAACACAAAACACCCTCCGACGAACACATCACATGGAAGTGGAGGTCGCCCCCTGTTCGTGAAGGACAGTGGTCTTCCAAGGGACCATGTTCCACTTCCATGTGACGTGGGTCATAGTGTAATCAAGAAGTGGGGCTACTTCGATTCCAGGGAGCGTATGCGCAGCGCCTCGTCGCTCCCACCCGACCGCCCCGAGGGTCGCGGGGCGGTCCGGCGGATCGCGCGGGGAGTGCGACCAGCGTGTCATGGGTCTACTAGCTGGTGAGGAGGGAGCTACGGAGCCTGGTGAGGAGGGAGCTACGGAGCCCGGGGTAGAGATTGTAACATGCACACACACAATCACACACATAATAGTATGTGTGTGATACTGCAGAATGTTTTTTTTTTTTTTAAAGTGAGTATGTGTAAATCACAACAACACACACGCATATATTAGTTGGATAGTTTTTTTTTGGTAAGTATATATTCTCCATCCATTTTCCCAGTTTAAAGCCGGAACCAAGGAGCCAGAGTTCCTGAATCATGTGCCGGCCTACGATTTTGAATGGTCTCAAAATAGAGGTTAGCATGTGGCGAGGGGAGATGAGGTATGGACAGGTATGGATGCTATCCACTTGTTGAATGCTGAGCCTGTGCACGTGTGGCACGTGTGGCACGTGTGCGTTGGCTCGTGGCTTCAGGACGACTGGGGTGAAGAGGAGGCCAGCTGGAAGGACCAATGGCAGGCTTCGAAGTGGCAGGAGGAGCCCGAAGAGTGGCCCCAGGAGCCCGAGGAGTGGCCCCAGGAGGCCCAGGATTGGTCTCAGCAGCCCCAGGATTGGTCTCAGGAGCCCCAGGCCTGAAGTGGGAGGTGGATGACGGTGTGAGTGGACTGTGGCTGTTCGCGGACGTTGTTTGGGGGGAAACCAAAGGGTCCAGCAGTCTAGCTTTCGGCCTTCGTGGTGGCACCTGCGAACCGCTGGCGCTGGGGACCTGCGATCAGTTGGAGCGTTCCACCGGACGAAGGGGTCAGCGCTCCAACTTGATGGACTCGGGGCCGAAGGTGACATACCGCCGTCGGTACCTATATATAGATAGTTATATTATATATATATACACATGTCACATGTCTCCAAAAAGAAGAACGAGACAGGAAGGACAAAAATACATTCCTTGGGTGAACGGCAGTTCGATCAAGGGCCCCTCCCATTCTCCCATTCTAGGATGGTTTAGGATTTCTTTAAGTTCTGTCTCAGGGTTGTTCCATCCCTGAACTGGAGCAGGATGGGATTCACATCAAACTTCTTCAGGCGAAAAAAGGGCTTCCCCGTGTGAGTGGACATGGAATTGCTGGAGAGATCAAGGGTTACCAAGGTCCGTTTGACAAGTTTGCCTGTGGGCCTGTTGATGGGGTCGGATTGTGCTTTGGCGGATTTGCCGCCCCTTGCACTGGGGCAAGGCAGAAGAGTCAGAGCAGTGGAACAAGGATCCTGAAGAGGAAGTTGAAGAGCAGGTGGGGACAAGACTTGCTTGACCATGATAATTAGAGATGTCGAGAGATGTTTCAGGGCCCCCCGTTAAACACAGGTTCTGTGAATTTTGCTGGGACATCCAAACCCAGTCCTGATTGGGATGGCCAGGAGCCTGCCCGATGTGAACGGACATCATTCAGACGCAAAAAAGGAGCAGTGTCTAGAGAACAGTGATGTTTGGTGCTTTAAAACGTTCAAACAATAATATCAATGGTCAATTTCAGTGAAGGATGTGGACTGCATGGTTAGTGCTTTAAACAACATCGAGATGCAATAGCCCTTCGGAACTTGGCGTGAAAATTCGAAAAAAAAACAGTTCCCGGCCCAGTTCGCTGAGAACATGAGGCTCCAAAGGTTCTAGACGATTTCCAGTGAATGGATGGACGGTACGGATGGATGGGACGAATACGATGGTCTTCGTCTACAGCGAGAAACATCCGGAGTCATCCGGTGGAGGACCATTGACCTCTACAACCCGTACAACCCAGGCGGTTTTGGGGTTCCATGTGAATCTGCGGGGAAGTATTTAAACATGACAAGATCATATCCAGCACCACGGGTCTAGGGTGGTTTATGGACACGTGCCCCTGATCTACGTCTTTTCCCTCCAGTTACCACCCTATCCGTGGCGCTGGAGCTATTGGATTTGAATGGATTTGATCGAGTAATTACTGCCCTTTGCGGGGCCCTTGAAACCTACCATGTTCGGATGTCCAGACACCGTCCTTCCACTCCTTCCCGTGCCTCCGATCGCACACGGCGTTGCCGGAGGCCTTGAAGCTGAAGGACCCGCTGCGCCCGCGGCACGTGATCGGTCAGGATGACGCACCCGGGAAGATCAACGAACCTGAAAGCCATGGACCTGTGGAAGGCGATGCTCCTCTACAACCATGTGGGCCTCTTTCAGGTTCCATGTGGGCCTCTTTCAGGGCGCAATCTTCCATGGTGATTGGTCAACTGTATCCTTTGGTGCGAGGATTTCTTCATCTTTTGTCCCGTTCTGGAAACTCAGGTGTGTTTTTTGTTCCTCCGCTCCTTGGGTGACCCGAGAAAGAGTCGCGGTGTGACCGAGTCGTTCTGTATATATCTATGGGTTCTATTACTATGTGCCCCCTACTTCTCTTTGGCAGATAGATGCTGATCGATTCTCTGATGTGAGATTCGTATGAATAAGGAGGGGACAACGTCTCCTTTTTTAAGAGTCTTTCCCGGGGGTGCCGCTATTATAATGTGTTTTGTTTGGAGTTCATTTCATTTGTTTTCATTTCGCTTTCAACTGCGTTCACTATACTTTCACTCTGCTTTCACTTGCTTTAATTCTGCTTTCAGTTTGCTTTCATGCTGCTTTCATTTGCTTTCATTCTGCATTAATTTGCCTTCAATGTCGTTCATTCTGCTTTCATTTGCTTTCATTCTGCTTTCATTGCGTTCATTTGCTTTCATTCTGATTTGATTTGCTTTCATGTGCATTCATTTTGTTTTCATTCTACTTTCATTTTCCGTGCATTCTCGCGTCATGTGCTTTCATATGGCTTGCATTTTGCCTTCATGCGCTTTCATATTGCTTTCATTTGCTTTCATTCTGATTTGATGTTCTTTAATTTTGCTGTCGTTCTGCTTTTTGTTTTCATGTTGATTTCATGCTGCATTGATCTATGTTGATTTGCTTTCATTCTGCTTGTCATTTTGCTTTCATTCTGCTTTCATTTGCCTGCATTATGTATGCTCATTTGCTTTTGTTTGCGAGATAACTTTTGAACTAGGTGTGTAAAGGAAAACAGTCCAAAGCAAGCCGCAACAGGGAGATGGTTTTACAATTGTGGACCTTGACACTTGTAAGGGGTACCCTTTGCAAGCCTGTGGAAGTGAAGCTTTTGAGAAGGGTTTTCAACTATTTCCAAACATTTGTTTGGCAGTTGGACGATTTTGGTTTTCCTTCATCATTTTGCTTTCATTCTGTGTTCATTTGCTGTCTTTCTGCTTTGGTTTGCTTTCATTCTGCTTTCGTGAGTTTATTGCTGACTTTTTCCATGAGTTCTTGTTCCGGGGTTTCTTTCTTTGCATGTTTGGAGCTGTTTTTTTAGTCCTGGACCTGGACTCTTTCATACTGGAGCCCAAACCCAGGATTTTGGACAAACAATTTATTACAATTCTCAATCAATCAAGACTTGAATTAGATTTTCTGGACATCTTGAATTTTGTAATTAAGGGTGACCTGCTTAAAGCAACTTGAGCATTAAGCGGTTATGGCGGCCACCTGGGTGACCTGGCGTGCGTTTCTCTCCGCGTTTCCGGTGTCTCCAGGAGGGAGGAAGCTTCCGTGCGTCGGAGGACCTCGAAGTGCGTCAGGCAAGGTGTGGACACTTGAGAAAACTGGGAGGGTCAAAGAAATATGCCCACCTACAGCACCACCCAAAAGGCTATCATTGGATGGAGACTGCATCTTCAGGGGGGTCTATTAACTTAACCACCCTTTGGGTGATGCTGGCTATGATCAATAAACAGGGTTAGCTTACTCTGTCAATCGCTGTTGGAGTTTCTTTAGAAGGCTTATATCGAAAGCCAATCGATAGGCTGGGCTGAAATTAGTTTTTGCGAACAAAGTGATAATTAAGGGGTGTGGGGGCAGATGCGACTACTTGTACGACCTGCTACGTAGCGTTTCTACTTTTTGGCAGAGACCATTTGGGCTGAGTTCGTGATGCAGAAGATGCATGGTGAAACTGTTTCGTCATCACATGTTATCGCTAGAGTCGTCAAGTCACGAAAGCTAGCGAAGCTAGCTGGAGTTACTCTTGCGATAGCAAGGTTTCTTTCGACCGGGTGCAAATCCTAACCCCTGATTTTTCAGGTCGAAGACCCCCCCCCCCACCCCC